TCTTCTTTTGAAATCTCAAATTGCATCGAATTGTTGTTTACCCACATCCCCTCACTCAAACTAATCGACGAAATTGTCTCCCATTGCTTGTTGCACTGCAAAAAAAAAAAAAAAAAAAAACAATTTTGTCATGCATTTGTTTGCAGTTTTGTTTAGAGAAGTCCATACCTTTTTCGAATTTATTTCAATTAATTGTTTAATTTATTTTTAGTTCCAACTATTAAATTTAGTAGAATTGTGTGAGTGTGTGTGTTTGAATGCAATTTATGCAAATTTCATTGTATTTAAATTCAATTCTTTGCCTTTCTTTAATTTCATTTGTAGACAGACAACCATCCAATTAAATCTAATCAAGGTTAAAGAATTGACATTTTGTGCCTTTGCAGTGGCCAAATAAGTAAATGATGAACTATCAGCTCTCTCTCTCTCCTATGACATGGAAAGTAATCAACGGTTAATTGTTGAAAAGAGGGGGACGGGGAAGGAGTGCATAAATATCTCAGAAATTTAAAGAGAAAATCACATAAATAAAATGATGTGGAGTTTGACATTTTATTGTTCAACAGACAGATCATAGTAGGGAATATAGTTATGCTCCTTACGATGATACAAGGTACTTAAATTGACTTATATAAAACAGAGACTCATTTTGTTTTGTGGTACGATTAATAACTACTTTTTACATTTCAATTAAACACCTGTTGTGTTCCCATCCCTTTCTTAAGGTTAAGACAACTAAAAGTGAGAATTAGTAAATCTCTCTCAGAGAGAACTGCTTTATCAGAAAGTAAGGGAACGAACAAATAATCTAGTAAAAATGTCAAAATCTATGGCAATCCTTTAAAATAAACATGCCAGCCAATCAGAAGTTGGCAAAACGGCCACATTTGTCTTGAAGAAGTAGAAAAAGAGAAGCCCGTATTTTTATGCGTTCTCTCTCTTTTTCAGTAAGTGTTACAACTTTTTTGTGTTTTTAGGAAAAAAAAAATTATAAAATAGTAGAATATGTTACTATTGCTCTGCTCCAGAACATGATAGAAGAATGCAGGTCAATATTTTTTTAAAAAATAAATAGATTTTTATAAGTTTTCTTATACGACGCCAATAGGAGGTTGTTATGATATGCATTTTTCAACAATTTTAGCGAATTTAAATATTTTTTCATTCAAAATTTTCAATTTCAAAATTGATTTGACAGTTCATTGTCCAAGTAATTGTGTCGATGCGACTACCTATATTCTTCTACCATGGCTCCAGAACATGCAAAAATTTACCAGTTTTGTCATTTTTTACAATATCATAAATGAAAAATCGGTTATCGTCGTAAAAATTTCCACATTCGTGCAGTTCTGGAACAGACCAAATATCAAAGTACATGTATTCTGGAACAGAGCAGTTGTGGGATTGGGATTTCGTCGCCAACTTTCCTACAATTTTCGTAAATTACCGAAATTATAAGCATTTTAGTTTTACCGACTTTTGTCGTTAACTCAAAAACTTGGAGAATTCCACTACAGGTTTTGAAACATAACTTTCATCAACAGATTTATACTATGTTCACATGGCACGAAAATCGCTCTTTATTCGTTGTTTGACCCGTAATTATTAAATATCTACTACTTTATTCTCCATTTTCTCCTCTTCGAACATTCCTTATATATCGAAATAATAAAAAAGGCATTTAAAAATAAAGGCCATTTGAGAAATACAATACTGTGGAAATACCAATGCAATAACTCTTTGAAAGACACTTATTTCTTCTATTCATTTAAGTGCGTAAAAAAACAGTAAAGAACGTCCAAAAGTCGGTCGGTTCCGACTTTATGATACCCTACACCCCTTTGCATATTTAGTAGAATAGTATGGATGAATAGTATATATGGGAGCTATAGCTATATCTGAACTGATTTTCGCCAAATTTGACACACTTGTTTCTCCACTCAATTTGGTCGTAAGTGCCAAATTCCATACAACTTGGTGCACAATAGAAGGCAAATCGGGCGAAAATATATATGGGAGCAATATTCAAATCTGAACCGATCACTATAAAATTTGGAAAGGTATTTCTGTGCTGTATTTGGTATACAGGGTGAGATGAAAAAACTGCAACCAACTTCAGACTACTATCATTTCTAAGCCACTCGTCGACAGCTGTTAAAATTATTCTAGTGACAGCTCATAATATTCTTTACAAGCGTACAGCGTGGTGAGAATTTTCCCGAAAAAAAGTTATTCGTGATGGAGTTCAAACGTGATTTCTTTATATTTGGCTGGAAACCACAAGTGGCAATCGTTAGAGCACTCCAGCATTTAAATGTGAATAAATCTTTTGTGGCTCGTACCATCGCTCGTTACCGTGATAATGGTAGCGTAGCCCGACGTCAAGGAAGCGGTCGGAAGAAAACAGCAACATCAGCAGAAATGGTTCGAAAAGTAAAGTAACAGTACGTTTACATATAAATGTGTTAACCCACAGGATTTGGATTAAAATTGTCATATCCATTACTTATACTTCAAATAAATACTCTTGAATAGGTTAACCCTGCAAAAAGTTCTAATGTAAACATAGCATAAAGATCGAAACCCGCTTTGCAGTGGCCGAAAAATGGCTCGTGCGCTGAACACATCGCAATATTCCATTCGACAAATATTGAAAAATGAGCTCGGGCTAAAGCCATTGAAATTCCAAAAAGTGCTGGAACTTACACCGCGGCAGAAAGAAAATAGACTCAAAAGTGCTAAAGAGTTGCTTCTCTTGGCCGAATGTGGTGAACTGCCGAATTTGGTTTTCTCCTATGAGAAAACATTCTTTGTCCAACAGTTTGTAAACAAAGAAAATTATCGAGTTTAGTTAACATTCGGTTGGCCACTAGAACTCAAGCGTCGGCCATGGTGATGGTGTGGGCCACCATAACAGCCGATGGTCGCTCTCCGATCATATTAATCGACCGTGGCATTAGAATAAATGCCGAATATTAATATTAAAATGTTCTGGAGGGTGTATTAAAGCCTTGGACATTCCAACAGGACTCAGCACCATCGCTCTCAGCACGCGCTACCGAAGAATGGTTACAAAATGAGATTCCTCGCTTCATTTCCAGCGCACAATGGCCACCAAAATCTCCGGATACCAATCCGTTGGACTATTGTGTGTGGAGTATTTTGGAAAGCAAAGGTTGGCACTAAAAATACCAAAGTGTCGATCACCTCAAGCAAGCGTTTCGACGGGAATGGGTCAAAATACCACAGAGCAACATTCGGGCAGCGTGTGAGGGTTTTATTGGCCGTTTCAAGGCCATAATTCGTGCCAAAGGTGACCAATTCGAACAAATCTGAACTTTTTCTGCTTAAAACATTCTTTGCTTTAATTCGAAAAAATTGAAAAAAATGTAAAAATTATGGCGTACCTCACCCTGTACATAAAACGTTGTTTGAATAAATTAGCATTGGACCAAAATCGATCTAAGACAACCTAAAACTCCTTTGATCCTCTACAAACAAGCCAGTCCATGACTTCAGCTACTCAAAAAAGTGTTTTATGTATTCCTACCTTTACTGAAATTGAATATTCTCCGCATTGTACCAGAAAGATCAAAAATGCTCAAGGCTTGTTTACCTATAATAAAACCAGTGGATTTCACCTATCCATTAAGCCAGTCGATTTATTTTGGCTTATAGCAATGGAATTGATGGTTTAAATCTATTGGATTTGTTATGCATGTGTGGCGCTTTGATTTGTTTAATTTGACATGTAATAACGTAGAAGTATCGAAAGTAACGAATGTAATTGAAATTCAATTCCAGATTTGATTTTGATAAATTCCATTCTCTGAAAATGAAATCTCTAGATCACCATTATTTCCACAAAAAAAGAACAAAAAATCAAACTAAGGGTGCAAGTACATAAGAAGCTTGAGGTCATGGCTAGGCATATTTTATGACATTTTAAAAAGGGATTACAGAGACGCACTAAAATCCTGCCGTCGTTTGCCATTATAAATTGACATAAATACTCCTAGCCATGACTTCAAGCTTTTTATGTACTTGCACCTTAAAATAACGTAAATTACACAACAACGTTTCAATTTTTGTCGAAAAATCCCCAAACGCCAACGAAATTCTATAAAAACCGGGTCAAGGATTCCCCATTTTTAAACTTTGAGAAAATCTATTTTTGCACAAAACTTCCACGTTATCACAACGAAATTCAAATAGTTTTATTTACCTTTTTTAGTTTGGAGCAAGCCACGTTCTTATCGCTTACTATAACACAGAGTTCGCACCGATGTGTTATGATGTACTACTAAAAATAAGCGTAATTTATAATCCTAATCTTGAAACAAAAACAATTGTTTAATACAAAATCGTTGTAAATATTTCCGTTTTGTTTTTATTTATTTTTTTTTGTTGGCTAAATAAAATTCATTATCAAAAAGATCCACGAACCTGCACCGATTGATCGTCACTGATCGACAAATGTGCCGCATTACGAAATTTTGTAATCAGATAATACCGCTGCATTGATTACGTTTGAAATTCGGGCAATCGAATCGAATTTTTCGAAATTCCATTCTATTTTTATCGAGTTGTTGTTGTTCAATTGATTTGCATTACTTTTTTTCTTGTAATTGTTGTTGGGTGTATTCTAACATTTTTTTAGGTTACAAATAAAATTCAATAAAAGAAAATAAAATAATTTTGAAAAGAAATAAACTTTCGCTGGCAAATAAAGTTTTTGTTAATGTCTTTCCTTTCTTCGATTGATGTTCATTGTCATTTAATGTTTTCGAAATATATCCACTTTTCATCGATTACATCACATTTCGAAAAAAATTGTCACTGTGATTTTGAAATTGTTTCAATATGAAATTTCATAAATATTCTTTGTGCACATTATTTCTATTCATCTTTCACATTTCACAATTATTTAATATTTTTTTTATTTCGAGTTCATTTAACTGTTTCAGTTTTTTTTCTCAAAATTTCTTTTCAATTCTTACCTTTACAAAAAATTAATTTAAAAATTCAAATATTTAAGTTCTAGTTCACTACCGATTTCGTTGAGTTCGTATTTTTATGCCTCTGAAGCCTGTTACACAGCTGAACCTTTGAGTGTAACTGAGCAGACTACATTGGCGTTATGTTCAACTTAAGGTTTATATACGAGCCGAACCTTGCCAGTACAACAACGTATGGTGGTGTATTTGCCGCATCGTATCTTCGTTTGTGGTGAGTTATGGGCGTTGTTGCTGCATTCAAGTGAGTAGATAAACACAATTGCCGTGTACTCGCAAAAGGTTCGTAATGCCATGGATGGGAAGTTTGAATGTCTGAAAAAAACCTGCAGGGCCAGGTGGATGTGAGAGTAAAGTTGTACTTCAGAACATAAAGTTTTTTACTACAATAACCGATTTTTCCTTTGTGATATCAAAAAATAAAAAAGCAAAACTAGTGGAATGTTGAAGGTTATGGAAAAGTGTAAAAATCTGTTGCGTATGACCTGGAAATTTATTTTATCTTTAAAAAACCTGCAGCAATTCTCCAAAGTCCTAGTTTGCTTCTGGAAAATAAAAAAGAGAACCGGACGCGAAAAGTGGAGGGCTCATATCCAAAATGCCAATGTGTGCCAGCTACGAATTTTATTAGAGCGAAAATGCAACTCTTTAGAATTTGTAGGGATCTGTAGGTTCGTTTAAAGTAAAAGCAAATAAACGTAGGAAAATCCGCAAAAATATAGGAAAAGAGGGAAAATTGGCATCGTTTCAGCCCCATAATAGGTGTAACGTAACAAAGTCAAACGCCTTTTTTTAAACTTTATTGAATGAAAGCAAAAAATGTCGGAAATAGCATCAAATTTTAGAATAAGTTTAGATTTGTTCGAAGTGGACACCTTTGGCACGTATTATGGCCTGCGGCCAATGAAACCGTCACATGCTGTCCGAATGTTGCTCTGCGGTATTTTGGCTCATTCCCGGCGAAGCGCTTGCATGAGGTGATCGACACTTTGGTATTTTTTAGTGCCAACCTTGCTTTCCAAAATACTCCAGACACAATAGTCCAACGGATTGGTATCTGGAGATTTTGGTGTCTATTGTGCGCTGGAAATGAAGCAAGGAACCTCATTTTGTAACCATTCTTGGGTGGCGCGTGCTGAGTGCGATGGTGCTGAGTCCTGTTGGAATGTCCAAGGTCTGAAGCCAAAATGTTTGCGTGCCCAAGGCTTTAATACACCCTCCAGATTATGTTCGCGATAATGTTCGGCATTTATTCTGATGCCACGGTCGATTAATACGAGCGGAGATCGACCTTTGGCTGTTATGGCGGTCCACACCATCATCATAGCTACGCTACCAGTATCACGGTAACGAGCGATGGTATGAGACACAAAAGATTTATTCACATTTAAATGCTGGAGTGGTCTAACGATTGAAATCACGATCAAACTATCACGCTTGAATTCCATCACGAATATTTTTTCTGGAAAATTATCACCATAATGCTTTTGCACGATAGTAAACAATATAATGAGCTGTCACGAGAATAATTTTAATAGTTGTCGGACGAGTGGCTTAGAAATGACAGCAGTCTGAAGTTGGTTGCAGTTTTTTCATATACTTTTATTGATATATCCATGGTACAATAAAAAGGTAAGGTAGAGCCATGGTAGAAAAATACAGGTAGATGCATCAACGCTTAGGAACATTGGTATGTCAAAAATTTTGGACTGTTTTTTCAAAAATAAGTAGATTTGTATATGTTTTCTTATACGAAGACAACCGGAGATTATTATGATATTCGTTTTTCAACAATTTTTACGAATTTGAATAACTTTTCATTAAAAATTATCAATTATATACCCTCCACCATACTATGGAGGGTATATTAACTTTGTCATTCCGTTTGTAACTCCTCGAAATACTCATGTCAGGCCCAACAAAGTATATATATTCTTGATCTGCGTAAAATTCTAAGTCGATTTAGAGATGTCCGTCTGTCTGTCTGTCTGTTGTAATCACGCTATCTTTCGAATGAATTAAGATAGATGGCTAAAATTTTGCACACATGTTTATTTTTCCAGTAGGCAGGTTAAGTTCGTAAATGGGTCATGTAGGTCCACGTTTTCATATAGCCCACATATAACGGTACCTCCCTATATTCGGTATTTTGATGATTTTGGGGACATTTTTCACTGGCATAGTTTCAAATTTGGTATTTGAAGTTCAAAATGGATACTACATCCTAAGACAGAAAATTGTCTGTGCAGGTCCACGTCTTCGTATAGCCCCCATATATCAGTACCTCCCTATATTCGGTATTTTCATGATTTTAGTGACATTATTCACCGGAATTGTTTGAAAATTGGTATTTGAAGTTCGTAATGAATACTACAGTCTAAGATAGAAAATTGTCTGTGCAAGTCCATGTCTTCGTATAGCCCCCATATAACGGTACCTCCTGATATTCGGTATTTTGGTGATTTTAACGACATTATTCACGGGAATTGTTTCAAATTTGGTACTTGAAGCCCAAAATGGATACTACACCCTAAGACAGAAAATTGTCTGTGCAGGTCCACGACTTCGTATAGCCCCCATATAACTGTACCTCCCTATATTCGGTATTTTGATGATTTTAGCGACATTAGTCACCGGAATTGTTTCAAAATTGGTGTTTGAAGTTCGTAATGAATACTACAGTCTGTGACAGAAAATTGTCTGTGCGGGTCCAGGTCTTCGTATAGGCCCCATATATCAGTACCTCCCCATATTCGGTATTTTGACGATTTTAGGTACAATACCCACCGAAATTGTTTGAAATGTGGTATTTGAAGTTCGTAATGGATGCTACAGCCTGTGACAAAAAAATTGTCTATGCTGGTCCAGGTCTTTGCACAGCTCCAATTTAACGGCACCTCCTTATATACGATATTTTGGTGATTATAGCTACATTATTCACCGCTTATGACAAACAATGCCTATGTATGTCCACGTCGTATAGACCCCAATATAACGGCTATATTCGGTATTTTTAAAATTTTAACAGAATTTTTTAAGGATTTTATTTTTTAAAAATTTCCAAATTCGTTGCAAATGGTGGAGGGTATTAAAAGTTCGGCACGGCCGAACTTAGTGCTTTTTAACTTGTCAATTTTAAATTTAGTTTGACAGTTCATGGTCCCAGCAGCTGTGTCGATGCGACTACCTGAATTCTTCTACCATGGGTAGAGCTAACAGCTGATTACAATTTTTTCTAAGTGTGCCAGACTTCTGCCAATTTTATGTATGTATTTATTGTTTTGAAAAATAAAAAAAATATTTTCAAAACCAATGATTGGAAGACACGTACATTGCAAATCGCGCATTAAAGGTATTAACCGGTTTAGCGATGAAATGAAAGATTGAACAGTCTGGATCATATTTTTGAGAGAAAATCCAGGCATTTTATTCATTTTTCGCGCTATTTAACTCGTTTTAAAAATGAGTAAAAATATGAAAGAAAGGAAAAATAATTTGAATTGATCTGACAGGAAGCGGGCATAGCCCCAGGGCTGTATTTCTGTAGTTTTACGAAGCTGTTCTACCTCCTTATTGTATCATGGATATATCAAAATTAAATAATGATGTGATAAAAAGACCTGTAATATATAGTATGTTTTCATTAGAGCTGTTTCTCGGGTTAACCTCCTTTGTGAGGATTTATTTGGCGTATATGCAAAGGAATTGACAATTACTACATCCAGTAAACTTTAAATGAAAACCACTGGACTTAGGATATGACGTATACACAATTGGATTTATCCTTGGAATTCATTGGTTATAATAAATTACCATACAAAAATATATCTTTCCAGATTGGATATTTTTTTAAATCTGGTACAGAAGCTACATACTAATCATGGTAGAAGGATAAAGCTAGTTGCATCGACACAGCTGCTGGGACAATGAACTGTCCAACTAATTTTGGTATTGAAATTTTTGAATGAAAAATGATTCAATTTTGATACATATTGTGTAAAAAAAATAATATGTCAAACTCCGATTGGAGTCGTATAGGAAATATACAAATTTAAATTTTTTTTAATAACATTTAAAATTTTTTGACATTTTTTTTCTACCATTATATTAATATTATCCAACGCTGTTTTCGCACTTAAAACTTCATTAGATTTTAAGCAATAGGGAAAATTTCAAAGGCGTTGTTAAAACCAAACAAAACAAAAACATCTCCCATCCCTGCTTTGAAATGCTCGTGCCAAGCCTACGCTACACACTGCTCTTTTTTGTGCTCATTTGGTCGCTTAATGGAGACTAATCGGCTAAGATATGCTATTTAAATAAATTTTAATTATAATTATAAAGTAAATTAAACAATTGTTAGGCATACCTGCGGATCGGGAAATAAATAATTGAAAAGTTATGCAAGTAGTGAGGGTAATCATAAATATAAAGGCCAAATATAAATTATCTACATATATTTTGTTGAATTTCCTATAACATATTTAAGAATCTCATGATCCTCCCATCGATTCTATTTCACCTCCAACCTTACTCAATAGTCAACACGTTGCACACACTTTACACCTCAAAGCGAATGTCTGTCGCTATTAGAGAGTTCGGTGAGTTATTCGAAATCGATTGAATCGATTTCTCTCATGTCTCTTGTCGTTCATTGTTTCGTCTTTACAACGATCACTCGTTCGGTCGTTCGTTCGTTTCAGTTAGCGATGGCGTTGGTGTGTTATGTAGCACAAGTCCAACTAATTTTAACTTTGATGTTTTACTTTTTTTCGACTCTTTTCGATGGATTTTTCTTGTTCTTCGCCTGCTTTGTTTTTGAGATCAAAATCTGTTCGATTATTTACCCAAGATAATGAGATCGCAAATATTGCGTTTGTGTGTCTGTCTGTTTGTCGTCGGTTCATTTGTGTGACGTCTTTTGGCGTTCGGTTGCAGATGATCGATTGATCTATTTAAAATTAATAAATGCTATTGATTTCAAATACCTTTTTGGATTTTGGGTAATTGAATTTAATGAGTTGTTTGCAGGGTAAAATAAATATTTTTGTTTTCCTTCTTTTGTTTTTCATATTTAATGATAAGTGTTTATATTTTTTAAAGTTGTTGTTGGATGTAGGAAAGCTTACATGATTTATTTTA